ATGCCGAGGGCCAAGGCTAACGCCAAATTCGTACTGCATTGAATAGACTAGTGACTAGTATAATGTTATTTGTTTAATTATTGAACGATATAACGAATAAAATATCTAATTATTCTTAATATAATGTTTTACTATATCGCCCAGAAAATTGTTTTTCGCCCCCAAAATATAAATTGTTACAAATCGCCCCCTCAACATGGAAAAACGCCCACATGGGGCGATATCGCCCCCATTGAGAAACAGTGCTCTAACTCTTTTTTAGGTTTTTAATAGTTGTCAGTAGTAATTGAAAAATTTTCTGTTCATATCTTGAAGAAGCTGATGTTATTAAGCCTGGGAACCTAGTCTTAATTACTTTTGGTATTCGAGGGTAACGGGAGCTCGTGATGTGTCTGAAGTCATACCGCGTATATGTTGACTGCTAGTTTATTAGGTGCCGTGTGTGGTTTGATATTCAAATACATGTGAGCTTGTTGCCATTGGCTACTGAAACTTCAGTATTATCGAAAGTAATTAAGACTAGACCCTCTGGACTTTGAAGAGCTGTTCCACACTTACCAGTGTCTGTCGGATATAAAATATTAAGCAGAAGCTACAACCTCTTACATTGAATTTTGTAACTGTTTCATTCATACGTAAAATATTTTAAGACAGCAGTAATGATTAATACTATTTTATATTTTCTTTAATGAAAACAAATTAAAATAGTTTTATTTCAAAAAATTTTTGTTTTAGATGCATATATGAAATAAAAATAATTATATATAAGTTTGAAATTATTTATTTTAAAAAATAATACCCAAAACTTTTAACAAATAAATATTAGCATAGCATTTCTCTACAGATCATCCGTGAAATATTCAGAAAGTATCTAGTAATACGTATTTATTTTTCTAAAAATGATAGAACTGTAATAAATTTTATATTAACTGTATTAAAATAAGTAATGTGTTATGCATATAAATCACTTCCTTCACAGAACACAAATGAATCCCAATACAGTCCACCCACACGTATTTGTAAAATCTAAGTGACTCGTACAACATGGAATTCATATAAAACGGAATAATCAACAGTGTTATAGGGGGTCGACTGTATTAATTCATGAATATACTTACGCTTACATACTTGAACAACAGAAAGCAGCTTGCAGGATGAAACAAAATTTGCTACTAAAATTTTATGTATCCAACTCTGGACTAAAACTTGACTCCTTGTTACCTAGAGGACAAAAGTACACATCATCTGGCTCCACAAGTGATTGATATAGCTAATGCCTGCAGTTTGAATGATATGATAAGAATTCTATTCATTGTCAAGTTTTTTAAAATTATGGTGATAAAGAAGTTAAATTCAGTATTCTGTTATATACTTTATATAAATATCACAAAGTTTAGTGTAGATAATAATTTTTATATATAAAATACTTTCTATATAAATTATTATAATGGATTACTTTTTACTTTTTAGTCTATATGCTGGTATCTTAACTTGGTTAGGACTAAAGAAAGAGGAGGAGGAAGAGGATCCATTAATTACCATAATCAAAATGGGTATCTTGTCTCTACAGAAAGAAGAATATAATAATGCAGAGAGTACATTACATTTAGCACTGAAGATGGCTCAGGAAAGGGCTAATACAGAAGCTGAAACTTACATATATGATATTTTAGCTAATGTTGCCTTTCAGAAAGAGGACTATGCAAAAGCTGAAAAGTTATTCCTTGAAGTAACCAGGAGAATATTAACTCAAGGAAAAGCCGAAGATGATGATGCTGTAATAGAAATCTCTCTTAAATTGTCTAAAATTTATAGTAAATTGAAACAATATGATAAGGCAGAGACTGGGTTTAAATTTTGTATACACACACAACAAAAGAAATTAGATCTCATGAAATTGGATAACACATTGACAGAAGAACAACAAAATACATTAGTGTTATGGGCCATGGGTATAGACTGGTACGCACGACATCTAATGGATAGGGGCTATTTGCAGGATGCCCAGAAATATTTTGAGAAAGCATTGGCTGTATCAGAAAGAATTAATGGTGCCTCTCATCCTCAAACTTTAGTTCTCATTAACGACATTGGAAGTGTTGCCAGTCTCAGAAAAGATTTTGATTCTGCTGTAGAAATGTTTAAAACAGCTATAGAAAGAAGTAAAGAAAATGAAACACCAGATTTGTCTTCATTTTACTGTAATTTAGGAACCACATATATTCGGAAAGGAGAACCTGTTCTAGCAAGATCAGCTTGTCATACAGCATTGAAATTAGCAAAGAAATTCAAGAACAAATTAGCTTCTGAAGATGCAAAGGAATGTCTGCAAGAATTAGAAAACATTGTTTGAAGAAGTATTTAATAGTCCCTGCTAAAAGAAAAAAAGTATTATGAATTGTGATTAGTATTGAAAATGCACAGGAAGCTTCTATAATTTTGTAAATCAAAAAGAAATAAATTTATTTATACATTAATTTTCATTAGTAAAATCCTGTTTTGCTTTTGAATATTTTATTATATTGTTAAACTATAAAACAAAAGCTGTAAACTTTAAACAAAAATTATTATTGGATGTAAGCTGAAGAAATATATATATATTTTTAATTGCTATTACAGTAGTATTGTAGTTAATTGTTATTACAACAGCATAAATATATTCCTACATTAGAACAAATTTTTAAGACCAAAAAACTTGTGCTTTTATATAAAATCTAATTATATTTCATATTTTCAAATAGTAATTATCCTTCCATCTATATTCATAAAAATATATTTTTAAAATATCTAGGGAGGGAAGGCAGACAATACTGAGATAAATTGCAATTTTGTAAATTTAGCATTCAAATTTAATTCTCTACCATCTTTTTATTTAAACTTAGATCCTTGAAAGACAAAATATAAATTTATATTCAAAACAATAAATTTATTGCATTCACTTTTTACAAAATTAAATTTATTTACTTAATAAGAAATCAAAATAAATCTTTCAATTAAATTTTAGGGAAACCAGACTAGATAGAGCATTAGGCTATATTACATTTAGTATTTGTGAAAATTTATATGACAATTTGAAATAGTAAATGCAACTTGAATTTGTATAAAAATATTCTTTCTTTTTAACTTAACAATTTTATTGCCTAACTAGAAATATTTTGAAATATTCTATCACATTAAAATTTTAATAAATTTATTGTATAAACTGCCTTAAAATCTTATATTTAATGAAAGAATTAAATATGAAATTTTAAAAACAATAATTTACCAGATTGCATATTCATTTAAATGTACAGACTGTACTGTACTGTACATCTAATCAATGTTCTCAAAACTAAATTAATAAACATGCTATCCTATGTAATCAACTAAGGAGTTATTTAGAGATGTATTATGTAGTACATAAATATATTTTATTATGTTTTTTGGGCATGAGTTGATAAACTGTCACCAGATTCTAGATATTTCAATTTGTTCCAGATTGCCTTGCACATGTTGGAAAGTCTAAAATCCAGACGTCCCATCTTCGTAAGAGAAAATGAATACTGTGTCCTAAGGGGAAAAAAATTCAAAAGTTTAATAAATAAATTTTCCATATTTTATAAAGAAATTCTTAAATGCATTTATTCTAATATTGTATAAAATTTTTTGATTAATATTGGTAAAATCCTACTTTATTGGCATTTCATTAAATTACAGAAATTTATACTAGTTATAAAAGTGGAAGTTTATAAAGCAAAAAATATAGAAAAACAACAAATTTATTGCATTTTTAATTAAATGCAAGTATGATAACATATATATCCACAAATATAATGTTACAGAATCAGCAAAGTAGCATATATTGATTGATCACTGGTTTTCTGGTCCAGTACCTCTTTAATACTGACAAAATTACAAAATAGGATGCTTGAGAATTCTCATGTCTATTAGACTTGTTCACCTAATGGCTACATATCTACTGCATGTAATGTGTGTTCACTATGATTATCTACACTATAGTTGATTCTATCTGTTAGTTGCACTTCTCAAACTAATCCATGTGACAAACAGGTAATGTTTCTTTCAATGCATTAGAGACTGATACCACATTTTTGCTATATTGTAGTATTATTGCATAAGAATGCCAGGATACCTACAAAATAGTATCATTGCATTTAAGTACATATATGATGTAAGAGTATGAAATAATTATCATTGTTATAATGATAATTATTTCATACTCTTACATCATATATGTCATTATCATTATAACAATGTGCTTCTGGAAATATATTATTATTTAATATTATGTTTTCTTTTCTTGATGCTTTCTGAGGATTGATAGCTGATTTTGCTTGTGGAGAATTACTTAGGCATTATGTCATAGCAGTGCTGCTTTGAGTAACATTAGTAGCATGATATATTTTTCTATTTGTGTATATATACACTTTCAACTCTGATTATAAACATTATAATTTTATTGTAAGCTGAAAATAAGTTTATAACATTTCATCATAATATGAATAATGTAATTTAGTTCATTACATATGTTAATATTTAAAATAAATTCTGTTTTTAGGTCTACTTATATCAATTAAATGCCATATTGTTGATAACATCTGTATTTGTCATTTCAAGCAATAGTGACAATTTGCCTTAGTGAATGCTTATGCAGCATCAAAACTCACACAATGTTAGGGGGATTGTCATAAGATTCTGTTTATAAAAACTGGTTGATATAAACACACAGATGACCAAGTTATTGTCTATCTTCTAACAGCTAATTTATATAATTGCAAATAGAAAGTATTTTAAATTAGTATTGTTCATGATTTTAAGTACAGACACACTTTTATTTATGATAAAGTTCTATTCAAATAATCAGTTTCCAAAAGTTATTAAATATCAGATATAACAAATGGTCATGTGCAGTTGATACACGACAATTAGTCATCATTATGACTCTAAATCGGGTGTCCAACCCATGGCCCAAGGCAAGTTCCAATGCAGCCCAATAAACATGTAAACAAAACTGAAAAATTTATTTTTTATTTATTTATTTCAACAGCATAAACTCCAGTACTGATAAACTCAAGTTTAACAAAATTTATACATATTTTATTTTTTCAAATACTTGGAAATGTTTGAATGAGGAAGGAATACTAAATAAAGCTGGATTTGTGACTCAAAGATTATAGTCCCAAATTTGGGAAAAGGAGAGAAAGGCCAAAACATATAAAGTAGTGAGAAAGGTTAAATAGACCTTCTGTTATGCAAATATTGACCCTTAATTTTCCAACCTTCCTCACTTTATCTTTTGTCCTTTCTCTCTTTTTCCGTCGTTCAGGTTTCTAATCCTTGAGTCTCAACTCCACTTTATTTAGTATTCCTTCCAGCATTGCAGGATTTGGCTACTTTGCGCCAAATTTGGCTACCCTTTCATTAGTGTGGTGTAAAAAATATCAATTGGCGCATTGGCTACTTTTTGGGCTACATATTATTTATAAATATATTAGTTGAATAAAAATGCACTTTAAAATGGTGTTTCATTGTTTATTAGAGACCCAAATAAAACAAATATTTGTGTTTTTCAAACAAACTTTTGTTCATCTCCTTTACAATAAATGAATTTATCTATTTCTAAGTATAAATTGAAAGTGTCTGTAGAAGTAATTTCTTAAAATATTCTTTTTCGTGATAAAGTTTTAATACTTATTACTATAATCTAGATATTTTAATCCTTAAATATACAAGTATATTTAAGGATTGAGCTACTAGTTTATATAATATATTAATACTTGTGGTCCAAAACTCCAAGACTTCTTCCAATGTGGCCCAGAGAAACAAAACGGTTGGACACCCCTGCTCTAAATGGAAGCTGCATTAAGCAGAGGATGCAAATTATAGATAGATATAATTAAAAGATATTTTCACTTTTAATCCTAGGAAAAAAAATGTGAGTACAGTAGACCCCCCCCCTATAAAATGGGTTCATATAATGCAGATTCATATATAGTGGCAAAAAACTTGCAGCCGTATTCATATAAACATGCTAAAAGAAACTCGTAAAATATGGTAAAACGTCATTGCCGACTTGTGTTGCAACAGGATTGGTCGAATCTAGACCATTAGCGGATATTGCACAAACCATTGAGTTTAAATGAGCAGCAGACCTACTAAAAACCATTTATTATTTAATGGCCATAAAAATTATATTTACATTAATTAATTTAATGATGTCTCCAAAGTTCAGCAAATTTTTTGCATAAAAATAATTTATCAGGAAACACGCACCCGCTGTTTGATGCGATGCTCCACAACGAAAACAAGCTTAAGCAATGGCGTTGTTGAATGGTGCACACTTGGTAAGTAATCCTACAATTTTTTGTTTATAGCATAGTTTATATGGATTATTCCCAAAAAATTATACATGTTTTGAAAATGTTGAGTCAAATTACAGTAATACCTCGACTTACGCGAACCCGGAGTTACGCGATTTTCAATCTTGTCGATTCGTCTTTTGTTTGAGCGCCACGCAACTCTCGATTACTCACTCCCTCCCACACTATTGTTCAGCTTACATGTTCATGTGTTGCGCGGAATCGACACATAGCTACAATTTCTTTTGTGTTATTTATTTCTGTGTTTGTTATATCTACGGAGACTTGAGAGACTCTATGTGGTGATTTCTTCTAACCGTGAACGAATCAAAAGACAAGATAAGATTAACGAGAGCATTTATTAGCTTACATACGTCCGACTTGGATTTTACACAAATTGCGAAATTATNGTTATTTATTTCTGTGTTTGTTATATCTACGGAGACTTGAGAGACTCTATGTGGTGATTTCTTCTAACCGTGAACGAATCAAAAGACAAGATAAGATTAACGAGAGCATTTATTAGCTTACATACGTCCGACTTGGATTTTACACAAATTGCGAAATTATACCCCAACTTACGCGAATTTGACTTACGCGGTTATCGTTCAGTCCCACCTATTGTGTAAGTTCGGGGTATTACTGTAGTCTAGAATCAATTAATTTTATGGAAGAAAACCTTCAAACAGCCGTAGTCTGTAAACTGCATATGTGCCGGGCTGTGATTGGCTCATGTATTTAAGGACTCGTAGAACATGAATTTCATAAAAAGCGGAATGTATCTACCGTGTTATGGGGGGGTCGACTGTATGTGTACATTCAAAGGATACTTAAAATTACTAAATGTATCAATAGAAAAATATTAGTTACAAGATGAAGTATGTTATTAACAAAATCTACAAAGTCATACATAAGAAACAAATATAAAATTACCTAATAATTCTTTTAGCTTCTGTATAATAACCCTGTTGAACTAAACTCATAGCAAAATATATTTTACATCTGGCAATTGTTAGAGGATCACCTAATTTCAGTGCCAGCTTGAATTGCTGTAATGATATATTTTCTGCTTGTTTTGCCTAAATAAAAAGAAATATAAAAATCTTTAAAAGAAAAAATTTTTTAATTTCCAATTTTTTTTATCAACATTTCTGATAACTGAATAAGACTGACTTCAAAATATTTTCTAGATCCAAAATGTCTCATACAGGTATACCTCGCCTTACGTCGGTAATTGGTTCCAGGAGAACGACATAAGTCGAAAAACGACGTAAGTCGAATTTACTTGTCTCTGAATCTACTTGTCACTAGGCTAAACCATAAATTACCATTCCCGGTTCTGTATTTTATTTATTAATGCATTTTTAATAATATATGGTTAATAAGGATCTATTTTAAGCTTACAAACAAATAAATTTTAGTTTTTAATATAGTACAGAAAAAAGTATTCTAAATTTACGAATGCATGTACTGTAAATACAGAACATACTAGTATATATTTTAATATGATTTTATGTGCTTTAAACGTTCTTCTAGTGATATTACGACTTCAATATTTGTGGCGGACAGACGTAAAGTCGAATAAAATGACTTAAACTTGATTTTTATTTTTCCATATACTTTTTTGACAAACGACGTATAATCGGGAACGACGTAACTCAAAATGACGTAAGTCGAGGTATGCCTGTACTAATTACACTGCACATTGGATACATGTTTTGAAGATAAATACAAAAATAATACTTGTAAGTTACAAGTATTATTTTTGTATTTATCTTCAAACTATAAAAATGTTGTTACAAGTTGTAACAACATTTTTATAGTTTGCAATTTTACAAAATTTTTTAGCCAGAGAGAATTTTAAAAAGCAATTTTATGAGAGATAATGCACCTCTTATTGGACTGTAATGATATAGTAAACACTTCAATCAAAAGCCTTAAATTATTTTCCAGTAAGGGTTAATTCAAAAAAGTTTTTTTGACTAATGTTTTCAATATGCAATTGGCGATCTTCAAGTCTTTATTCTATATTAGGTGATTGAATGCTTAAATCGAACAATGACGTTTTTTTGAAAAAATTAAACAAACGATATTCTCAAGATATATGAAATTGTAATTTTATATGTATTGTTACTTTTATTTCTAAATATACAATTAAAATAAACATTTTAAAGACTATATAACCATTAATTTTTTTAAACCAAATCAAATTGGGTACTTTCAGTGGAATACCCTGTATATATAGAGTAATCAAATGAAACATTATTTAAATGGAAATAAAAATATATAATTATTTATATATATTATGGCAAAAGAAGAAGTATCAATTTTCTCACTTTTTTAACTTCATAAAAAGCAATTATTTGCAGATTTCTTTGCAATTAATACAATAAATCATTACTAAAAATTACAATACTTACACAATATAAAAAGTAATCACCCAATGACGAATATGCACCACCAAGTGTTGAAAGCCAAGACATGGCATTTTCCACCTCACATCTTTCATTAACAAGTAAACTTATTCTTTTATTCCTAAATATAAAATAATAATTAGAATATTCTCTTAAACTCAAACAGAAGACACAAGTTGTCTTTCTTCAAGAAACAAAATTTTTAGTGAATATTATACATTTTAAAATATTTTTAAGCACAAACAATAAACTTTTAATTTTATTGTTTAACTTTTTTGTTTAACTTTATGAATTTTAATAAAAATTCATACATGAATAAATTACAGAGACAATTACAATTTTCTCTGTAATTTATTCAAGTGTCCAAAAAGTCTGAAATTATTAAAGAATTATTTCAAACAATATGTGACACTTATTAAGTAGATCCTCTGTATGTTTCAGTTTCCAGGCTTCTTTGAAGACTAAGAAAAGCACTAAGATTTTTTCTTTATTTCATGGAGCAATGGCATTTTCACAAGTTATGCTCCTATGTTCCAGTGAGCACAAAGAAATATAGTACTTCATGTGTAACTGTTTCTGGAAGTTAAAAGAAAACATACTGAGTTTTGAAAATGTGCATTGTTTGTTTTTTTAAAAAACAAACTTCTACAATTCAGAGTTTTCAGACAAACTGTATTTTCCATAAAACATCACAAATGAATTCATCAAATAACTTCATTCTTGAAAATTTACACTATCAATTTTTACTAGTTTTAAGTGTTTTAAGATTTGATATAGAATTACTTTAATAAAAAGAAATGACAACTATATTTGTAAAAGTAATAATAATCATTAGAAAAATAAAAGGCAGTGGAGTCAGGAAACAACTGCTGACACCAATTCCTCAATTTTTAAACTCTTAATTTCTTTAATAAAGCTCAACATGTATTCAATAGTAAACTTACTAAAACAGTAAATGTGTATCATAAGACTTTCATCATTATCACATAAATCATCACACTACCTTTTAGACTAAAACCTACATTTAAGTTTAAATGTAATTTTATATTGAGGACGGGAATCAAAGTTGGTACATTTTTACCAACTTTTGACCCCTATTCCATCAAAATTACTTCTTACTCCAACTAAACAACCTGGAAGAATGTACCATTGAAGATGATGCAAATATATATAATTTTTTAAACTTTAATAAATAGAAAAAGTTCTTTATAATGTGATAAATGCTATATTTTCTAATTAATAACTATATCTAATTCAAATAACTTTTCTTGAAGTAAGCTTTTTTAGAAAATTCTAATGTTTTTCTCCTAAACACCCACAATCAAAGGTCATCAAGAAACTTATAAATGCTAAGAATGAAAGATATTCATTTCTCATTACTCTTGAGAAAGGATATATAATCTAAACGTACATGTTCTTTGTTCTTGTTTTTCTACATGCAAAACATTAATATTTCTATCCTGTAGCTATCAAAATATACACAACAAAGTTAGCATCTGGGATTAATCATTGTCAAACATTTTATTACACTGAATTTATTATGAACAACATATACAACAACCAGAGTCAATAAGTATTGCAAAACAGTCATAAGTTGATATAAAGTACTTTGGCTAGAAAAAGGCTGTTATATCATCATCTCATAAATTTAATAATTAAAAATTAATTTATTTCTAATTATTATTAAATTTAACTTAGTAGTGTAACTGACAATGCATATGCAAAGTAAGCAAGTGTTGCAGATTTGAGTCCTATTCTGGGCCAATATTTTCTTCCAGAATATTCTAAATTTATTTATTTCCAAATATTAAATTAGCCATAATATAACCTAATAAATAATTCTTTGTATGATTTGAATTTACAAAGCAATTTCCAATTTAAAAAAAAATAATAATAATAATAATCTCATGCCAGAAATTATACAAAACATTACTTCTGGGTGCAAGCTCTTTGTACAGACAGATTACTTACATAGAGAAAATCAAGTAGCAAATATAAAACACCAAGAGCTTGCAAAGAAACACAAATTGGTAGACATCCACGAACTATACTACAAGTATATACCACAAACAGTATTGGAAAACAACACGCACAAAATGTACTATGACAGAGCAATAATCACAGATAAAACAATTTACCACAACAGATCAGATATCACACTCATCGACAAACACAATAAAATCACATGCATTATAGACATAGCCATTCCAAACACTCACAATGTACAAAACACATGCACAGAAAAAATTAGCAAGTACAGTACACAGAACTCGCCCAGGAAATAAGGCATCTGTGGAGGATGGATAGGGTGCTTATTGTACCTGTTATTCTCTCCTGTACAGGTGTGATACTACACACACTACACAAAAGCCTGGGAACATTATAATTGAGTAGAAATACATACATCACACTACAGAAGGCCACTATATTGAATACATGCCATATTGTTAGGAAATTCCTGAATACAGACACACTTAATTTTAGTTTTTGGTTGCTATGCCTTGACTCTGGTCCGGCATAGTACACAGCCACCGGTGTGAACCGAGTATAACCCACTAAACCCAACATAATAATCTAATTATAACTTTATTTTTAAAGTGAAACAAATTTATTTGGAACTTGAACATTAATTAAAAACAGTCAGTATTAATGGAAGTATTCAAAACATACCTTCTGTTCTTAAAAATATTGTAAATAAAATGAAGCAATTAAATTCATTAACTAGAAGACAGTTTTATTTTATCATTAAAATATAAAACAAAAATTTCTCTAGTTAATGGATGTTTGGTTGATCAGTCAGCACACATGAAAATGGTTTGTTTTTATATAGGGTATTGCAAAAGTGGTTCTTCCTGGAAATGGCTGATAGAACTCATTGAGATAAGCAAAAAGTGTAGAGTAACATATTTGCAAATTTGCAATAGTCACCAAAATATTCAAGGTTAAAGTTTTGCAAATGCTAGAATGAGCCACCATTACAGACCTGCCAACTGTTGACCTATGATTGATAATGGATGAACAGATTGAAAAGCAATAATAAAAAGCATTGCAGTTATTTTTTCTACTCTAAATTGGCAAAACTGGAAAATAAAATAACCTGAAAATATCATTTTACTGAAAGTTTCATGTGAAATAAAGTACAAACTATTGCATTTTTTCCATTTTAAAACATTTTCTGGTTCAGTAAATGTTTATATTTAAAATTATAGTTTAAATAGTAATAACTATAGCATGGTTTCTGAAAAAAAAAAAAAAAAAAAGGGTTCAAATTTGCAGCTTTAACCTAGAATATTTGGTAACTATTGCAAATTTACATACATGTTACTCTACATTTTTTGCTTCTCTTGACAAGTTCTATCACCATTTCCAGGAATAATACTTTTTGCAATATCCTGTATATTTGGCAATGGACATTTTACTGTATGTGATATTTCATATCTAAAAAGTAATTGTCTTAAATATTCCATTTACCTACACAGAAAAAAGTTACTCTAAAAATTCCAAATATAAAATTGATTTGAATAATAATAAATTCCAACTTCAAATAGTCTTGTGAAATTAATTCTTATAGATTAGTTACAATAATTCTTAAAATGAATTTTTATTGTTTAGTAGTAAAAAAATAAATTATAGTATAGTTTAATTATTGTTAGGTTAAAAGTAAATTAATAATGAATACATACCATAATTTATCCATTAAACAATATTTTGGCCAAGAAATAAGAACAGATACTGTCACTATTTCAATAGTATTTTGACAAATATCACATATCTTCTGAAACAACTGGTTACTTGGATGCTTTTCACTATAAAAATGATACAAATTGTTCACAACTGCTGCACGAAATGCAGGAGACCTTTCTAGTTCTATCACAAGATAAGAAAACAACTGGATATCCATTTTTAACTTGAAATGAATATATTCTTTTATTGTACAAATGCCACAAAAACTTTCTGTATTCTCTATACATAGATGACATTTTCTTTTAATTTTATTAATGCAATCAGGACAAATATATAATTTTCTTATAATATTTTCAATCTGTAAATCTTTTGTTTTCACATCAGTTTTGGAGAATATATGACATTTGTCATCTTTAATTTCTTCAATAAATTTAGATATGTGAAATTCAACAGTGCAATCATTATTATTTTCAATCAGTATAGAGTCAATATCTTCATTTTTTATTGTAATTATATTATTCTTGAAACGATCCAGTTCACAAGTGCACCATGTAAAATAAGCCTCAGATATTATAAATTCATTTGATTTATTATGATTATCTGATAAAAAGGGAATAAATTTTACAAACCTTTGTAAAAGCATTAAGTATAAAATAAGTCTATATTCAGAGTAATCATAAATAATTATTTACAGCTCTACACCAAAGGCTCTTCTTATATCGCTAAAAAACAAAATAAAAAAATTTTTATAAAATGTTTAATAAATAACTGAAATGGTAAACAAAACTATTTTATTTTATTAATATAATACGAAAACTACAGTTTATCTATGTACCAAATAAACACAGATTATTTTAGTAAAGAACAATAACCAAAATGTCTCACTGAAATTACATTACATTAAAAAAAGTCATTACAAAACATTAACTTACTGTTTTAACTTTGAAATGTTTTTGAAGGCCATGAAACATAGATAATGTTATAAAATTTTGTGTATATTTATTTTAATACTGTAAACACTAGCAAGTGATTAATCACTTAAGTTTTCATTTACTACTAAATTTCATACTTTTGTCTTAATAAATTCTTTTAGAATCTTTATACAATTGTGTATTTTCAATTAATATCAAATGCTTAATCTCTAACCTCATAGTATCTGCTTCCTTATTTGGCTTACAATAAAATGAATACACTTGCAGGTGAAAGTATTGTCATTGCATCAAATACCATTCTGTTTATTCCACATAATTTATATGACATTATTAGAACAAACATAATGAATCAATAATCATTGAATCAAATAATCCAATCTATCTATAATCTATTTACCCTTACTTTGTGTGACATATAAACAAAATCTTTCTACAGTTATCCCTTGATTAACTTGATTAATATATCTGCTAGTCACCACATATCCTTCAATGTTATTGCATATACCAAAATTGTGTTAATCAAATATTACAATCAATGGTAAAATATATAATTTGTCCATGAATGCTTACTATATTAATAAATTTTCTTATAAGAACTGTACCCTTTTAGGATAAAATAAAAAATGAAATATTTAATAAAGTAATTTAAATAATAAAATGAAATATTTAACAAAGTAAATATTTAATAAATGCTTGTACTTGCATTAGTTATTGTTGTTAGAGAAAAGTTATCAAGAATCCTGTGCACAGTATTAGTTTTTATCTTATCAACATAAATTCTACTATGACAAGCAACATGACTTTCTAGGCCTTGGCAATGAGCATGTTTTGATCAATGGGGTGTAGAATTTATATGTAATGTAATTTGTGAAGTTGGTAGTACAAATGGAGCTTGTAATAGATCTACTTTTAATGTTGGCAGGGAAGTAACTGGCTGGCTCTCATCCTCTGGGAGTACAGCAGAATCATGAAAGGAATAATGCCATCACCTTGTGAGCAACTTTGAGTCAAAAAACACTCCTTGGGGCTTGCATGTATTTTGCTTGGTAAATTTCAAGCCATTACTTAAAATTCTTGGCATATATATGTTACTGTGAAAGACCGAAATTAGAGAATGTCGATATTCTCCGGTGAATGTTGACACATACAAAATATGTTGGTGAAAGACCGAACATTTGGTTATATTATTATACATTCGAACAATCGCCGGTGTATGTCGACAAGCACAGATAAGCTTTGGTGGAAGTCGAAACGACACCTGAGAAGCCGATGTCGACAGAGAGGAGACAGTCTGTCGCCAAATCCTTTGTGGGTAGCCGGAGGTAGGACAACGTCGTACCTCTTTTCCCAGCAACAGTTTAGTGGAAACTGCCCACTTCGTCACTGGATGACATTTTTGTTCTTTTGAACGATTTGTCAGGTCCAGTGGCGGAGGATGAGAGGGTCGTTGGTAAGGAGTCGTCGATATCCGAATAAAAGACAGCATTAACAGATCAATTTGTAATCACGTAATAATGTAATCAGTTCATAATTTGTAAAGAAAAGTTACTTTCCATAGATGAGATTTCTTCTCAAGAAATATCACTGAGAGAAGCAGCTGCAGCTAATTCGAAAAGTGGAGGACAAGGCTATACATGCTGTCATTGCAAAAAGAAGTGTTCAATGAATAAATACAGTTGTAAAAGCAATGGACTCTTGTGAAATTCAATGTGTCACAACAGTTTAAGTTGTTGCAATAAATAAGATTGTATAACATTAATCACATAATTAATGTGTAAGTTTATTATTGTATTATTTTTTTTAATAATTAAGAATGTACTGTTCGTTTTAGATTCAACAGTTTATTTAAATGTGCTGTTACTTAATTAAGCTTTCTCCTATTTTCACATATTAAAATGTTGCATTTTTTTCTTAACGTAATAAAAGTATTTTTATTCAACATTCACCATCAGTGCATGCTGAATGTCGACATTTGCCGGTGTAAGTGAGAAATAATGATATTTAGCAAATATTTCGTACATACACGAAACGACTGTATGAATGCTGACATTCATCAGAGAATGTTGACATTTGCCAGATATTGGTCATTCACAGTAACATATATAAAGGATTGTCGCAATTAATTTTGCAAAGTTAATCAAAAGATACCTGTATAGCATTCCACTCCCTTCATAACACTGGCCACACCATTTAAACACACTATAAGATCTGTAGTAGTTTGTTATTGATAACAATGACAAATAATTCTAGATTTTTTTTTATTTTTTTTAATTTGCACTGTAACATACTATATGGTATTAATATACAAAAGTATTGAACTCATATACATACATACTGTACATTTAAGAACTGCATTCAGGAAAATCTGTATAATTCAGATATGGACACTGACCACATCAGCAGTATTTATAATTACATCATCTACTACAGGTGTGGCCAAACTTTTATCCCTTAGGGGTTACTTTTTTGGTAAAATATAGTCTGCGGGCAACTATGAATATGGGCAATTTTAGGATTTTTATATGTGCATGTGTTAACATTCATTTGCATTGTTCATAGGGATAAATACAAACAGTATGGGTACGTTGCACAGACAGTCTATCATTGTAAGAATAAATTATCGAATTAAGATTTTTAAACATTAATTTAAGTGAAAGCAAATTGTTCAACTTTAGCTTTATGGGCTACTTTCAAAACCTTTGCGGTTGACCATCTGATCTACTATATTGTCCATATTGTTGGCCATCTCTGATCTACTATATTGTCTATGAAATAATCCACTTCCTACGTTTTGTTCTCTTCCTCAATAATATGGATAGCTGTTTGCCAGTTTTGATTATTACCAAAGTAACCAAAACTGGTTAATTAGTATAATCAGTAGATAGTATATCAGATGCAGTGACCTTCTCCATCAAAACCCTCAACACATGCCAATTTGATTTGACATTGTATAAGTGTGTATTTGTCAATCATCTTACAATTGAATATATAAAAACAGCTATCTAGAACTATTTCAATGACTTCTAATCATCACTAATAAGTCTTGCAAATATATAACTAGGTTTATTCAGTGCTATGACTCAAAAACCTTTTTTTGATCCACCAATTAGTTTTTTCATAAAACAAATATTTTCAGCTGTTTTTACAGCCATATTTCAGTTTTAAGTACAGAACATCAACCACGAAGGTAATTATTGAAAAGTTAGGCAAAGTCAGAAGAGAGCATAATAGATTACTTCCAACTAGAAATTTTATGGATCTCTATACATAAATAGCTCTACAGCTAATATTAGTTTCATTGTAATAATTAAAACTTTATTTTACTTTTAAGAGAAGATATGATATTAAAAACAAAAAACAAATTTTTAATGGTCCTAACCCATTTTAAAAGTGAAATCAGTATTTTAAATATTTTCATGAATCTATTAATAGAATACTAGAACATATTTACAAAATGTCATAATTAAACATAATGACTTTTTAATATTTCAAAGAGACATTCAATGTTTCAAATGTTATAAGATCTTCATATCAAGGAGTAAAGATAGGAAGCAAAATGAGGTCACGTTTGGGCACTTAGCTGTTATATACACATATAAATAAATGGACCTAAAGGTAAACTTCTATCGCAAAGTGTATCCTGTTTAATCAATAAGATTGGTTCTAGAAAGTTAATTATGAAAATGAAGAAATGCTACACCACAGTTTTAAACAGATATTTACCAAAACATCTTTGACGCATTTTGCTCATCTATTTCATACCAAAACTTATCATTTTGGAATTAAAATTAAAGCAGCAAAAACTTCGAGAATTTCACTCACCTCACGTCTACAACTTTCATTGAAGTGGCGCCCCCTATTTCAATGAAATTTCCATTACTTCAGAAACGAAAATTTATTCATAAAATGTTTAAATTTAATCGATTATTTTATAAAATAAATACTTTATNAAAAAATTATAGTTTTATTTTATTCCCGAATTTCATTGTTTCATTTGTGGTCGGTCATAATTACTTTAACAATCGTAGAAAATTATGAAGGCGGTTAAACCCCTTTGGCATTCTACCCAGTGGCGTACCGTAGTGGGGGCGGCAAAATTTCATAATAAATAATAATATCTTGTAAAAATTCTGAAACATCCTAATCTATATTTGCATCGCGCCTACGATAGTGATATCGGCCGGGTGAATTAATAGTAATTTTTTTATCCAAGGAAATCCTGCGAAACCTGTTAACCTTTTTTTTTTTTTTTTCTTGTACGATTCATTCGCGTTCATATACACCACTAATATCCAATAGAACTATTTTAAACAGGTCGCTGCACTACCACCGACTTTTTCATTGCTTGTTCTGTGACAAAACTGAACTTTGGTCTTTTAAATTAAAATACCTAAATAAGGGGGACCGAAATTTTTCTCGCCCCGGGCGGCTGACACCCACGGTACGCCATTGCAAGAGTTGACTTACAAGGCAAACAAAGCCGCTTTCTAACACGAGCATGATCATAACCTTTTGGTGATTTAACTTTACATAAAATACATTCACGAATTACATCATTACTCCATTTGGGGCAACGTTTATCAAAATTGAGAACCTGGTCAACAAGAAATACTGCTCCAGTGTTTTCAGTTTCAGTTAATGCTGCTATTTTTCCTACTGCTTCAATCAGATTATCTTCTTCGTAGGCCTTCAATTTTAGAGCATTTTTATCATGCTGTGCCTGTAAATCTGCCAATTTTGCATTAAGTTTTTATATTCTGTAACAATTAGTTCAAGGTCATAATTAGTTTGACATGCAGCATTTGCCATATTGCTCTTCCTTCCTTCCTCAAAATCAGTATAATTATAAACAGGCCCATCAGTAACTTCAGTGTCTACAGTTGTGCTTTCATGCTGAGGACCCTGCTGGTCAACAATCTTACTCTTTTTCTGTGGTGGATTTGCACGTACTTCTAAATTCCGTTGTAATGGTGTTCTCTTTGTTTTTTCTGTCTGCCAAGGGGACCTTACTGTCTCGGAAATTCAGTTCGGTATGAGACTTTGCAGGTTAGTAGTATACAAATATTTTTAACCTCTCCATAGCTTAAAATATCTTAAAATTTTTAATTAAAATTAAAGTTTTAATTTACCTCCATTAGAAATGCATTTGAAATTATTCAACTTTTTAAAAATATTTTAAGCTATGGAGAGGTTAAAAATATTCGTTTTAAATTTGAAGAATTTTTCAATTCCTTGTTATTTTCAACCGATGAACTTAAGACGATAGGTCGGAAAGTTATGTGAAAGTGTCACTTTTGCTGCTGACTTGTGAAAACTCAC